CTCTCCTCTCCTCTCCTCTCCTCTCCTCTCCTCTCCTCTCCTCTTTCTTCCTCCTCCTCCTCCTCCTTCTTCTTCTTTCTTCTTCTAATCAGATCGAGTTAGCCATCCACATAAAACTCCCGAATGCATTCCAAACTCTTTTCAATGACCCATACGACCTTCTGCCATCTGCCTTTTTGGCTTCTCCAACTTTGTCTCCTATCTTCTAGTTCATTATGCTTGATTTTCAGTCACATGTAGGGCCTTTTCACCTCTCAGAGTCTTTGTACACACTTCTTCTACTGCATGGAACACTTCCCTCCAGATCTTTATTTTTTATTTTTATTTATTTATTTATTTATTTATTTTTTGCGGAACCGGGGATTGAACTCAGATCCTTGAGTTTGCCAGTCAAGCGCTTATCCTATTGAGCCATCTCCCCAACCCCTTTATTTTTTATTTTTTGGCGGAAACAGGGATTGAACTCAGACCCTTGCGCTTACCAGGGAAGCACTTATTCCACTGAGCCATCTCCCCAGCCCGACCCTCCAGGTCTTTATATGAATAACTCATTCTTATTATTCAAGATTGGCTCAATTTTACCTCCTCAGTAAAATTTGAGGACACCTCTACCTGAAATCACCAGGGTCATTCTCTGGTTATTCTGTAACTGTAATTTTTTAATTTTTTCATAGAATATATCTTTATCAGGTATAACAAAAACAAAAACAAAGAACCAGGTTCCTCCATTTCAAACTTTCTAAGGTTCAAATTTTAGCCAAACTCAGGTGAGCTTTCACCTGCTCCACCTGACAGTCTTTGTTATTATTATTTTTTAAATTTTATTTATTTGTGTGTGTGTGTGTGTGTGTGTGTGTGTGTGTGTCCAGCTCAGTCCACCAGGGGGTGGGGCTGGCTGGCATATGGTGCTGGGGGATTGAACCGTGGTCCCTGTGCTTTGCTAAGCTTGTTCTAAGTAGGCGCTTTAGACCACTGAGCCATCTCACCAGCGCCCTGACAGTCTTTGTTAGTAGCAAGAATCAGAACGTCTTGGGTTTCATCCTCTTGTATTCAGTGCTGTTCTTAGTGATGAGAGCTGCCAAGAGATAACTCACAGGGCTTTCTGAGAAGCCAAAGGGCTACCATATAACACAATGGTCTAATCCCTGGTGTACAGAAGCTGTCCCAGATTATTAGCACCTCCTGTCCTGACAGTGATAAGAGACCACTCTGCTAGGATTGTCTTTGGCTGAAAGTAACAGAAACCCAAACAGAGCGTGCACTCCATTATATGCCAATTTTTCTCATATAACAGGAAGTTCCGATGCACACAGTGCCCTGATATCCAAAGCTCAGCAACATTACAGCTGATGTATCTGCATTTCTCTTGATTGTTCCCTTCTGGAGCTTTAGTGGTGGCTACAGCTCTAGTATCACCTTTGTGTTCCAAGTAAGAAGGAAGAAAGCAGAAAATTTAAGGCTAAGAGGAAAAGGGATATAACAAGTAGGCTTGATCCTTCTGATCATGAAAGTCATCACTTTTCCTGTAGTTCCACCGAGAAGATGTTTGCATAGATTTCACTGGCAGAACTGGGCCACATGGCCATCTCTCTACCCACTACAGGCCAGAAAAAATGAAATTGCCACGCTAGGAGTGTATGCACTGCCTAACACAGCAGTCACTGTTATGTGTGTGGGGGGTGCATCTTAAGGCTTCAGTGAGTCTCTGAAATGGATACTGTGATGGTCAATCTGAAAACCAAGATGGACACTGAATGCCTAAGAGTGGGTGGTATATATGGTGTGGTTACACTGGACAAAAAGATGGGTCATGCCCCAAATAGGAGACAGGGGTAGGGGAGTGAGAAACTTCATTATTCTGCTCACCATGGTCCACAGTTTAAAATGTACAAATTACTTATTTCTGGAATTTTCTATTTAATATTTTCAGGTTGATGTGATTAATGGAAGTGGGGACTTGAAAGTGGGAGAACAGCAGAAACCTAGAAAAGGAAATATGACTAAGGAGGGACTACAGTGTTTCAAAGTGGGGTACTGTATTCAGAGGAGTAGTAGGTTGGTGGTGGAGGGAAGTGGATATTGAGTAGATAACAGGCTGTGTCTTTTAGAAGAGCAAAAATCATGCACAAATTGGATTAGAACAAAACAAAACAAGGTACAACAAAAAACTAGAATAAACTTCCACTTTGCTGAGCAAATTTCACCTGCTGGAGATCAATATGGTGTATGGGATAAAGAAACCAATAAACTTCCTAGAAACAATCCTGGATTCAAATATACTTTCTTCATCTTGTTGGAAGAAGTGAATACACACACCCCCACCTGATCAGGAGAATAATCCTCATAAACTTGACTATTTTCTACTCTGAATCTAAGGAAGGGCAAGCCAGATAGCTCAGTGGACTAAAGCACCTGCTTAAGCAGGTGCAGGGCCCTGGGTTTGATCCCCAGTGTGCCCTGCCAGCTCCACCCCCAGGGCATGCTGAGATGGTGACTGAGACTGGGCATGGAGGCGTGCACCTGTAATCCTAGCACTTGGGAGCCTGAAAATAGGAGAATCACTATGAGTATGATAAGTGTAGTGAGACCCTGTTGATCCTGTACTAAATACATTAAAAGTCAATCAATCTATCAATCAAAGGAAAATTAAAAGTAGCATGGATTTGAAAGATTACTTTCTAAAACTGAATTTCCAACACCAAGCACCAAACAAGCTCCCAGCGTGTGATCCAATATTCCCAAACCATCCTTGGCAGTTGATACCCTGGCTAAGTGAGGAATTCGTTACTATGGACACTGATAGGTTGTAAAGGCCATACCAGGAGGGCTGGATGTCAGCAGAAGGAGCAGGAATCAGGCACCCGGAGCACAAGAGAAATGCAGAACAATGGGTGTGGCCATGGATCAAGGTCAACATTCTAAGTCAGATTGTGATCATGAGCACTTATGCTTAAGAAAGTAATTATACTAAAAGACTACACGTCAGTAATCCTAAGTGTCTTTTGACAGAAATTTATTTCAGCATGTGAAAGGACTGGTTGGCATGCATTTTACAGCAATAAGAAATAAATCCATTAGGCTGCTTGTGTATTTCTTTTATATACCTGAAGTAAAAAAAAAAAAAAAAAAAAGGAAAAGTGATAGGAAACCGGAAGCAAGTGGTATTGAAAGAGGTCAATGGGCCAAGATCCAGAAACAGAAACTTAAGGGAAAGAAAGGAACATGTAATGAGGGAAGAAGATTCTGCAATGGCAAGCTGGAGTCTCCAGGGGTCCCAAACAGTAGCTAAGAGTGGGCTGCAATGGGCTAACATATAAGAAAGACTTGATACAGCCCCAACTACCATGGCCTACTTTTACATTTTTTATTACCCATACTATCTTAGTCAGTGTGGGCTGACATACTAGAAAGCACAAACAGAGTGGCTTAAGCAACAAACACCGATGTTCCACAATTCTGGGGCTGGGCAGTCCAAGTTAAGCACAGACTGAGTCAGTGTCTGCTGGGGTTCTCTTCCTTCAGCATCTTCTGAGTTTTGGGTGGTGTCTTCTGGATGAATTTTCACACAGTCAAGAGACAAATAATTCTTCCTGTATCTCTTTTTATAAGGACACCAAGCCCGTTCTCAAGGGCTCCGTCCTTGTGACTTAATTACCTCCCAAAGCCTCCCTTTCTACTAACAGTACTAGTCTCCTCTAGAGGATACAGCAATAAAGTTGCTGTCTTAGAGACAAAGCTCCTGTGAGACACTAAATCTCCTGGTGCATCGACTTGGGCTTCCAGTCTACAAAACCATAACAAATAAATTTTAGTACTTTATAAATTACCCAGTCTGTGGCATTTTGTCCTAGTAGAACAATAGACTCAGTCATGAGGCCGTCCCTTCTATTTTCATCTAGAAACTCAGTTGGCTTGCTTTCACACTTAAGTCCAAATTATGCCTCAAAAACATTTTCCCATGTGATCATCACAGCTTCTCTTTCTAGTACAACCTGTCACATAATTTAAGACATTCTGAAATCTTTAATTCACAGATTTATAGTGCCATTTTCAGGTTGAGATCTGCAGGGAGGCTGTTGTGCTATTTATTTCCTCTTGGCAGAGTCTCCCAAGTGCTCCAGGCTGGTTTCCAGAAGTGCACTAATGCACACCCAGCATCCTGCCTGCATTTCCACCCACAGCCTGAGGTCAGAACACACTCACAGGAGTACCAGAAGTGGAGGGTAATGGAGATAAACAGCCAGTCATTATGCTCTTCGGAGTCTTGACCTTCCAATTTGAAGTATGCTTAAAAGCCTTTCAGTAGAGAAAACAATTGTCCTTTTGTTGCATTTTTACCAAGGACATCACATAGTGCTTATAGGAAATCTTCTGATTTCTTGAGGCTCCAGAGGGCAGCCTAATCACAAGTTCATCTTTCCTGGAGTGTGAAGGAAGATGTGTCACTCTGGGGACAGGGCCTAGAAGACAAGGCTTCTTCTATGCGGACAGAGAAATACTACTATCTCTTAAGCTGAGAAAGAATTATCCTTTTAAGAAACCTGTTTAGGGATGGGAATATAGCTGGAAAGTTGACAGGCTTTCCAGAGGCATGAAAAACAGACCCTACATTAGAAATTACTCGTCTAAGAGGAAGACGAAAGGCCAACCTCCAAGAATCATCAAGAAATAAAAAATAGAACCTCCTAGTGCCAAAGACATCTGTGAGAGGGTCTAGATCAGTGGTGGTGAACCTACGGCTGTGTGTTATAGCAGGCTGTTTGTGGTACTGAAAGC